CCTGGAGCCACACATCTGTGTCTGCCCTGGATTATTTTCCTAAATTCAGTAGGGCAGGGTCCTTAGTAGGAAGCGGGTAGGGCTTCCAAAGTCCAGAGTTCAGGTCTACCAGAAACCAGGAGGGCGTTTCTATGGCTCTCCCATGAGGGATGAGCACCAGTCACTTCCTGGGAAGGTGTATGGAATGGCTATGCCCTAAAGCCAGTCTCCAACACCCCTGAGTCTGCCTGTGTTGCTGTCTCCTCAGCAGGAGTTAATATGCAGGGTGGGGCAAGTGGTATCCCACAGGGTGGGATAATTGTTTTCCCTCCCCCGGAAAGGACTTGCTCTTCTCACAAAAAATGGCTGCTTCGAATAGGAGGTGGGGGATGTCCTGGCAGAGGAATCGCAGCAGCCACTCCCCATCTCTCCTCAGTGCCTCCCACTCCAGACCTGCCTGAGTGACTCCAGTCTGTTCTGGGGTCCAGGCTTCACTCCTCTCAGGAGGAAGCCCCCACAGCCATGCCGTAACTTTGGCCTCCCCTCTGTAGGGGCGGGGCCAGCCCCTTTCATGTCCTGCCCTTCCTACCAGTCTCTAGGTGGTTTCTGCCCATCTATGGTTAAAAGTGTCCTCTTCAGGTAGTCTTCAGTTGGTTATTTGGGGTGGCTGTTCCCCTCTTTATTGTTATTTCCAGTTTGGTTCTGGGAGGTATGAGAAAGATCCTCCTACTCTGCCACCATCCTGTAACCTATTTGTTCAAAACCCGGCAGCTTTAAGATTTACTCAAAAAAATGGATCAGCTCAGCATGCCCATATGTGGTATACATTGCCTCGAATCTCAGAAGCCCATTCAGCATCGTGTCTATTTATGGTGCATTAGATACAATGTACAGCAAATAGTGTGTTACTTTAGAGAGAGAATCTGAACATTCCTTACTGTGTCAGTCAAGGTCCAGTCGGCAGACAAAAGCAACACTCTAAATCAAACAGGGAAATTTTAATATAAAGAATTCTTGTCTGATAACAAGGGATTACTACTAAGAGAACTGCATGAAGAATTTAGGAGCTGCAGATGTAGGGAGCAATCACTTCCTCTAATGTGAAGGCAGATCACCCAAGGGAGAAAAGAATTTGGATGCATGTTCAAGATGAAGCTGAGAGTCAGGCTTTGTTTAACAGGGTGTAGACGTGGCAGGGAAGTTTGCTATGGTGCTGCAAGCCTGATTTGGCAAGCAGGAGGTTGCCCACCAAGTGTAAGGCAAGATTCACTGAGAAGCTTCCCCCGGGGTTTGGACAATATTCACCGGATGTTCTAGCTGCCCACAGAGGTGCTGGCAAAACTGGCTGGAGGGTAAGTACTGCTGGGTGGTCTGCTCACTGCTCCCCACTACACACTACAGGCATAAGCATGAAAAAGCACACAAGAATCGGAAAACTAAGTCCCTCACTGCATCATGTCTCCAGCCACCTCCACTGAAAATACCTAATATGGTGCCAGGTGGCAAAGGAGAAATGTATGCGAATCCAGCTTCATCATCACAAGTAGGGCAAAGAAGGATGTAGAGCTGAGAGGCAACGAGCTGAGAACTGGCAGAGCTGGCCTCTCTGGCTACTCAGCTCCTCTATGCAACCATCTCTCCATATGTGAACTTCCTACATTTCCATCTAACAAGGTAAATTATCCCTCATACAAATAAAGACTTTTTACCTGGTCTCCCAAATTAGGAGACTTGTGTCTTAATAGTTACTGTGTCTATCTGTGGTTACATTCTTTACTTCCAAATCAGGTTCCACACTTAATTCTGAGTCACCTCTGTCCTGTATATACAGGAGATAAGTACTTTCTTTAGAGTCATCATAAAGGCTTTCTAAGTTTCTGTCTGGGCCTTGTGTTGATCATTCAAAGCCTTCAGTTTATTCTCTCCTTTATGAACCCTTTCTAGGGTAAGAAATACCATCCTGTGCCACATTTGTCCTCAAAGCGACTAACTGCTCAGCCACTTGGTCTCCCTATGCTCGCCCTCCCTGTGCAGCCCCCTCTGTGCCCCTGCTTGAGGTATCTGAGTAATCATGATGCTGCCACGTGCTGCCTACATTCAGTGTCCCATTATCCCCTGACAAGGAGGTTATTGATATGCTCTTCAAATAAATGAGCCATTCCAGCCTAGGATTCCATTTTAAAGTCCATTTGCTGAGGCCAGGGCCCAGTGGGAATCCGATGACACACTCACACTAGTTAATTTGAGAAGTATTTAGCAAAAAGACTGTTTATGAGGAGAGGTCACTGTTTAAGGAAAGACATTATCACCCATACGCTGAAGAAGTAACAAGGAGGAATGAGTCCCAGAACTCAGAGCTGTAGTGACCACCCACCCACACAGGCGTTGTGGGCAGATGAAGGCAGTCACTGACAACAGACCAACAATCAGATGGCAGAAGCCAGGGGAAGATGCTGCAATTGTTGCCTTCCCTTCAGACCTCAGATCTCCTGCTGGTTTCCCACTGACCCACGCAGCCGGAGAACGGTGTGTCCTCCTTGACACAGTGCACAAGGATCGGACTCCAAGGACAGAGAGCAGAGAGAGGGGAAGGCAAGGAGGTAGATCTGAAGAGGCAACTGAAGACCATCAGCCAGAGCCATTTGTTTTACCATTTTTTTTTAATTTGGTGTGCTAATATTTTGTTCAGGGTTTTTGCATCCATATTCATTATGAAAATGACCTATCATTTTCTTGTACTATCTTTGCCAACTTTTTTTATCAAGGATATGCTGGCCTTGTGATTTGCAGAGTATTCACTCTTTTTCTATTCCTTATAGGAATATCTATAGCATTGGAATTATTTGTTCCTTCAATGCTCTAAAGTGACAAAGTTGGCTTGCATTAAGTTGGGCAAAGCATGCTTCACTTCAAGAGGGTGGAAAATTGTAATCGAGCACCCAGTGTTCCTGGAAAGAGATTAGAAATGGCATTTTCTACCTCTTAGCTCCTTTTTTATTTATGAGGTTATCTGTGCTGAGAACTGTGAAGGGTTGGGGATGCTATCCTAATTGCAGGCTAATGAGTTCACCTGCTACAATTTCATAGACGATAGAAGACAGGAGGCTCCTGGGTCTGAGATAAAGCACAATTTATTGTTCACAGAAATAGCAGCAGCCAGAATATCAGCATTTAGTCCTAATTCCTTCAGGTGACACAAAGTCCAGGTGACACAAAGTCCAGGTGACACATGCACACCCGGTGAATTGCATTACCGGGTAGGAGTCCTGGGCTTAGATATTCTGAGTCTTTCATAGCGAACCATACACAGTATGCCTTCCAAGACTCTGCTTTACAGACACCCTTGAAAGTGAGCCGCACAAGATATAATGCCTCAGCTCAAAAATTCATGCAGAAACATGCGAAGCCTATGGAAAATTCTCAGCTGACTTTTGCATCTAACAGACATTAATTATTCATTTTTATTGTGAATTATAATTTGCTAAGATAAATAACCCTTTGCTGTGTGATGTGTCTTCCCAATTTCACCCTTGATATTATTGCCACCATTTGTTGTTGTCTATCTGCATGAGTGGCAATGTTTAACCTTCACAGGTCATTTTATCTGGGGTACATATCTGGTACACAGCATATGTCTCACCTTTTTGATACACTATGAGACTATCCTTTACTAGAGAATTTTAACCTGTTTAAAATTATGCACTGTGATATATTTTTAATCTTGTTTTTCTCTTATATGTACCTCCTTGCTGTTAACCTTAGATATACATTTATATAATTATGTTGCAGTGTGTGAAATATTGCTACTTGAATTAGATCTCCTTTTTTCTCTCTAGCTTGATAACTTCTACTTAGCCATCCAGATCTACTCTCCCCATTTTCCACTCTGCTCTTTGTCCTGAAGCTATGTAAATTATGTCAGAAGACGTCTATTTCTTCTGCTTTTGGGAGGAGGTGGGGTTCCGTCATAGAAAACTCAAGAGGAGACTGAAGGAAGGGAGAGGTGTGAGATCAGAGTATTTATTTCTCTAGTTCATGAGGTCACCCTACGGCTGGTCTCTGGTCTGCTGGGTTATCTTCTTCACATGCTCCTTCTGGGTTTCCAGAACTCTCCCTCCCCAGGTTCATTCCAGACAAAGAGCAGACACACTTCATCTCACACCAGCCCTGGGTTCCTGCACTACACCATAGTTTCCCTACACACTGCCCACACTTTATCAGCTCCTTTGTAAATGTTGAGTGTGTATCTATCTCCTGTTAAGACTTACTCATAAACCCTTGTTCATCATTGTAGGTCCTTGGCATGCATGTGGTCAAGGTTATTCTTTCCGTTTATTGGAGAAAGGGATTATTCTAGTTCCTTAACCAAGTTTATTCCTCCTACAGAGTTTTCATTATTGGCCCACTAGGGGTTTTTCTACCATAGGATAAAAGATAGTTCCTCTCTTTACCCTGTTTTCCAGCATGGAATGTAGCTTTTGCTTTATAAATCGTTTGTTTATAAATCGTTTTGGCTGTTTTCTTGGAATTCAGAGATGGATGGAAGGTGAAAGTAGAAGACAAAAAGTGAAAATTCAAATCCCTACACTAAAACATAGTGTCTCTTATGTTACCTGTAGAGGTTTTCAGAAAGGGTAATTCTAGAATGCTTCCCCCCACCCACCTATACACTGACTGTCCTTCTGTAACTACATATTATCTAAAATAAATTCTTGGGTTGAACATTAACCCTAGAATTAACTAACTCTATTAATTTTAACTATAATGTACCTGAAAATTTTAAAAATTTTAATGTGAAGATATGTAAAATGTTCTCTTCAAAGTATTGATTTTAGTAACAAAATCATATTTCAATTGAACATTAATTGTTCCACAATAAAGCATTTATATCGAGATGTTTTCTCTTTATATAACTTATGATACTACTAAAATCAATTAAAATCAACTTGAAAAATTCTATTTCTATATTATGTGGCCTCCGTATTATTCGATTAGCAGTGGACAAAAACACTGATCATCAAACCAATACTCCTGGGTCTTCTAAGGAGCAGGCTTCGGGGATTCTATGACCTTGACTGTTGTTTCTGGGTGACGTTTCTTTCTGATCTCTTCTACTTCAGGATCTTCAAGTAAAAATGAAGCCAGGACTGGGATTTGAGAAAAATAGTTCTTAGCCAGGAAATGTTTGTGCTTGATCTTGTGAATAAACGAGGGTCTGTATCCCTGAAAAGAAAAGAAAATCAAATTCTATTACGTGTCAGATATATTTTGCCAAGTAAAACATGTTCATGCCTCAGTGCCTTTGCTTATTAGTTCTTTCAGCCCAGAATACACTTTCCGCACTTGGTCTATCATTTCTCAGGGCTCAGCTCCTGTGGCGCTTTAATCTGCAACTTCCCTGATTCTCCTCTGACGTCTGACTCCGCACTAAACCCTCCTGCCTCCATACTTGCAAACACTTCTATGTATTTTCATTGTAATATTTAAGTCATTCTGCCTTGAAATTCACTATATTCTTGAAAGTCTCTTCCATGATAAAGAAAACTTGAAGGCTCAAACTGGGTCTTAGCTGTGTCTCTTGGCGCCATAAGGTAAATACTTAGAGTATATTTTTGAATGAATGCACTTGTGTCACCTTGGTTCTCTAGAGTCTCTTTCAACATTGATACAATTACCAACTTGAATTTATTTTCTGAACTTGGTCCTTTCCATATCTCCAGGGTTCAAAAGAAGGATCACACTGGTGTCCTGACAGGGCAAACTTTTCTTCGCTCACCCCTTTAACTGCTTCAGGTTCCCACCTTATGAATCCTTGCATTCTTTCTCTTCTGGCTTCTCAACAGAAAGCAACGTTCCTGCCCTATCAAGTCTTTGTGCCTTTCTACTTCCATTTGTTCTCAATTGTTAGGCTTCTTGTCTTCCCACAGCTAAAACAGCACTTTGAACTTTCTCTGTTATGTAGCCTGGCCACATGACTATAAGACAATCTGTTTTCTTTTTCCTTTTTTTTAAGATTTTATTTATTTATGCTAAGCGAAACAAGCCAGGCAGTGAAAGACAAATACCATATGATCTCACCTTTAACAGGAACCTAAAGAACAAAACAAAGAAAGAAGCAAAATATAACCAAAGACACTGAAATAGAGGACAGGCTGACAGTGACCAGAGGGGAGAGAAGAGGGAATTTCAGGGGAGAATGGGAAGGGTTTACAGGAACAAATTTAAAGGACACATGGACAAAAGCTAGGGGGAGGGTGGTAATGAAAAGGAAGTGGGGAGGGTTGGGTGGGTGGGCTGGAATGGGAGTAAAAGAGAGAAAAACTGTACTTGAACAATGATTAAAATAAAATTTTAAAAAATTTTCAAAAAAAAGAAGAAAAAAAGATTTTATTTATTTATCTTTAGAGAAGGGAGGGAGAAAGAGAGAGAGAGAAACATCAATGTGCGGTTGCTGAGGGCCATGGCCTGCAACCCAGGCATGTGCCCTAACTGGGAATCGAACCTGCGACACTTTGGTTTGCAGCCCGCACTCAATCCACTGAGCTACGCCAGCCAGGGCAACAATCTATTTTCTAATGAGAGTAGTAGACTACTAGTGGCCAACCCCAAGGTATTCTCTCTTCCATTTATATTTAGAGGCCTGATTTTGCTTTTTGTGACCTCAGGCTGAGCTTTCCTAGCATTTATTCTTGCTACAGGTGGCATATGACAAGTTTCTGGCCTTTATACATACACATATAATTAAAAGTCATTAGATAGTGCTTACAGGAAAGTTTACTGAGAGAGAAAAGATTCACTTGTCCAGCACATTTAGGCTTTTGTCATACCTATAGCTGGATATAATGCAGGAGATAAAGTTGCTATTTTATCTCTAAGAGTCTGCAAGCAAGAAAACGAAAGCAGAGGTTAAATGTGGCTGAGGGGAAAAGACGAGGACCTGGGCTGGTGAGAGCACTGCAGAGCCACCAAACCAGCCCCAGACTGCCAACCCCTGCACTTCCTGTTACATAAGGAAAGTAATCCCCCATTTGATTAAGTCATTATAAACTTCTTAGTTCATTATTGGCAGCTGAATTTGTGCAACTCAAACAATGAAGAATTGTTTTTCTCCAAGCACTTAGCACAGAATGTGGAACATTCAAAACTAAATTCTGATTGAATTAATAAATACTGTTACAGGGTGCAGCCAAGATGGGGGCTCCAAAAAGGAATGGGGTCCAGAACTCAAGGTTTCCAGGAAATATTAGGGAAAAAAATATATATGTTGTCCTCACCCCTCACCCCCAGTCTGAGCTGGGGGATGGAACACATGGAGAAGGGCTGTTGAGGGCTGTTTTGTACAGCAACAGCCTTGCAGCTAACCTCTGGCATGGTCATTTAACATATCTATAACCTTTAACTGGTTTCACAGATATGCTAAACAGCTGTGGCCCTGCTTTGAGCCAGGGAGAAGGAAGGGACTTCCACCCAAGATGTAACTGGGGGGCAGGTCCCCTGAGTTACAGCACCTGTGTGGGAGCTTGGGGATAACTGGCTCCATGACACGGGGCCATGTCTGCCCAGACTCACGATGTCAGCCCAGTAAAGCTGGAAGGAAATGGGAGTGCTGGCAAGTGTAGCCAATTGTGGGAGGAGTCAGAAATGGGGCTGCAGAGGAGGATTGGCATGGGGATTTAAACTCAGACTCGGCAGCCATTAAGGAGAGATGACCACGTGGCTGTGGCAGTGCAGAGAGAACCATGCAGCTTTGCCAGAGTGGGGACTCCTGTAGCCCTGTGAAAGAGAATCACTGTGCAGCTTTAGCAGAGAACTGCCACTCGGCTTTGGCAGAGTGGCGACACCCCCCTCCCCGCAGCTTTGCAGAGAGATCCATGTGGTCTTGCCAGAGTGAAGATGCCTGCAGCTCTGGTAGAAGAGGACCGTGTGGCTTTGGGGTGCTCCCTTTGGCCACATGGTCTGGGAATCAGGAGAGACTTTGCCTGGAGGAAGGGTGAAAGAACTCTTGCCAGTAGGCCATGAGAAGGTGCCACATGGCTTTGGATTAATTGGAGATCCTGCCTGGATAGCGAAACAGCTGATGGTGCCAGTGGCCTAAAACACGGACATTTGCTTCTTTTCCGGAGTTATGGTACCCCAAGTAGGGCAGGGGGAGAAGGAAGCACTGTGGGCATCTGTGGGTATCCTAAAGGACTTTGATATTTTAATGAAGACATTAGGTCACTACTTTAAGTCTGTATAGCATTAAATAAACAATTTCCTTTCCTTTTCACAAATCCCTGAGACGTCTTTCCTATAAGGCTGCGGACAAAAGGAAAGAACCTGGGGGCATTCTTTCCGTAATAGTACAGCACCACCCCCTTTGGCCCTGTGTGCGGGTGTGTTCTGTAACAGTTTTTGGTGTCCCTGGGTGGGCCAATAATTGCCCCACTGTCTGTTCTGTAACAATACCACCTATTCTCTTTATTAATATTAACTGGCCCTTCTTTTCAACCAAATGATAGATACCACCTGTACCTGCACCTGTTTTCTGAGAGTAAGACATCCTCTCACTGAAGTTCCTTTCATAGCATCAATCAACAGTAAAGAAAGCCCTAGAGAAAAGAAGCTGAAAAATATAATATTCTCACAGGAAGTACTAGATAGGAGTATCCTGGACTTATTTTAAATTTTCTTCTCCACAGATAAATTTAACAGGTCAAAATAGTCATTCTTTGTCCTAATCTGACTTCATTGCATCACTTCTTTGCCCATACTTACTCAAGAAAAATTATTACATTTCCGTTATACAGTATTAAATTATACATACATAGGACTTTATAGGCTTTCAAAGTGCCTTTATAGAGCCCAAAAGTAATTCTTAAAGATGTCGTAAGTGTATTATGGTTCATATAATTAAAGGAGTAATAAGCACCTCTTAAAGAACAATATAAAAAGATAGTCAATATCTATAACCCACTTTTTCTGTTATTCCCTTTTTATTGATGAGAAAACCAGAGCAGCAAGACATTAACAAGCTTGCCCAACTTCTTCCTGCTCATGAGTGATAAAGCCAGAATTCAAAGTCAGGGCACTCTGATTCTTTGTACTGATTCCCTGGTGACGTTTATACAAATAGATGAAGCAAAGACAGTAGGCCTTAAGATTGTTCATATCTTTAGTGACAGGAATCGGGAATACTGGGTCAGGTCTCCTGACTTTAAATCCACTATGGAACCATCCACTATGGTTCCTACTTTGGCCACTGTGCGCACTATGAGAAATCCATCTGCCTCGTTTATGGTTCAGAGGACACAAGTCTTTTTCCATGCTTTTCCTACAACTGTGTCATGATTACAGAGTGCCAAGATTATTTTAACTTCTGAATGTTTTTTTTTAATTTCCTGAGAAAGCAAATATCTGTAAATTAAGGAAATTCTCAAAATGCTTTAACTTGCTGCAAGACAAAATGATTCTTTAACTAGGTTAAACATTAATACTTAAAAGATTACACCAGCCCCAAACCCTAAAGGAGGCAATTTTTTTTGAGTTTGCCTGGTTAAGAACCTTAGCTATTTTACAGAAATTCAATAGGCTCAGCGTCCTTAATGTGGATAGAACATTTAATTTGATACAGCAGTAATTTAATTAAACCCACACAGGGCGCTGTGTGGATTAATTGAAGAAGCAGTAGAATGTCAGCTTGGGGAACGAACCTCAGTCCCACGGTGGGTGCTGGACGAAATGACTCTGCAGCGTTGGCCGTGCTTGCAGTGATTAAATATTTATGAGGGGGTTGAGTTTACTAAATACAATGTAGGTAGCACAGCTTCAGTTTCTCACTGCTCTTTCTTTCAATACCTGAAGTAAAATTTTTCTTAGCCTGGCTTCTACTGGAAAATTATTCAAAAGCTAAAAATTTAACTAGTTTCTCCTCTTTACCCCTTCCTTCTCCCTAATAAAAACACAGGCAGTGAATAGCACTATTCAAAATAACTGTTATATTTGAAGTCATTTCTGTATTTTCTGTTAGCTGACATCTTACATAAAATTAAATACATCAATTTAATCAAGAGAAGGCAGAGAATCAGTATCAGCAGTAAGAACTCTAGGCTTGCTTAGTGTCAATGGAGATCTTCAAACTCATCAGGGATTCCTCAATTCCATTCATCGAAGTGCTTTAGAGATTACATCTTGTGAATTACAGAAATTAAATAATATTTATTTTGTAAAGTGCTTTCCCCATTCCTAGTTACTTGGAAGCAAAGAAAATGGAACCACAAAACTATACCCCATGAGTCTGATTGCCATTTAGAGCACAAAATTATGAACAAAATGTATTTGAGGATTTAGTGTGTTTTTAGGCAGACTGATGATTAGTCAAAACAGATTTCGTTCCACAATACCTATCTAGTGGTACTATTCATTTATTCATTCAACAAATACTTATTAAACCCCTAATCTATGACAGGCACTGCTGTAGGTGTTAGAGCTATAGACATAGCCTAACAAAATCTCTGTCCTTGTAGAACTTACTGTAGAAGTAACATGCCTAAACTTGCTACTATTAGAAGGGAGTAGTACCATGTTTGGGTACTTGCACAGACCTTCAGATCTTTTATTCTCACCTTTTATGTGCCTTGGCTTCCTTTTAATGTTAATCTCTGCCATTCATGCTATCCACATATTTTGTTACTGTTATGCATGGGTTCTCTGTTTCTTAATCCAATGGAAGTATGTAAATTATGTATGGAGTGTATTAAAAGGCAGTCAATTTATCTCTAATAATTCCAAAGATTAAGTTAATTTCCCCCCAAAAGTTCAACTTTCTTACCTCTTCAATACTTTTTAGCTTGAGATGAGCAACACCTTCATCCTTGGTGAGAAGAATGCAGTTCCAGGGGGACCACTCGACGGACTTGTCCCACCTGACCATGACCAGGTCATTGAGGTCATTCCAGGCACTGAGTGCTGACTGGGACACCCAGATGTTCTCAATCAGGTACTGAATATCTTGCAGCTGCATGTCAAAATAAGTTTGAAAAATGTTTTCTCATAAACATAAAATCTCTTTAAGATTATTATATTACTTAAGGAAATAATTACATTATACTGAGTATATTTTTAAAAGAGAAATACTATTGGTAAAGTTTTCAGTGCCACATTGCTCCTTATTTTCCACAAATTATGTTATCAGTTCTCACATTCATGACCACCTCCTTGGCCCAGAGTAAGCTGTATATATGTCTTCCAAAATGCTAATTTTACCTTACATTTATTGATATGATATTAAGTACTTTTCAGAATGTATTAGTAACTATAGTCTTATCCTCAGGGTTACTGTATGTCATTTCAATCCTATTTTACAAATGAGGAAATTGAAATTTAATTAAAAATAAGCAATTTGCTTAGTATTATTTAAAAGGCTTTCTTGTTTTAATGAAAAAGAGGGAAGGGGGAATCGAATAACTGCCTTAAATTGTTTTATTTAAACCATATTTGCTAAAACTCTTGAAACAACTTTTTATCAGGAAGTGTACACATATAAACTTAGAAGTGCCAGAATAGCAAGCTTCACAAAGTATAAGCATAGTATAAGCATAGGAAATCAGCAAAAGAATTTCATCCATGACTGGCAACTCTTAGTGACTATACCTGCACCAGGAAAGCAATTTTAGAATCATCTTCATATTCAGCTTCTGAAGAGTAGAGCCGCTGAAGTAAACATTTGTACTTCAAGAATGATTCTCGTTGCTGAGACTCATTGTCAAGGCTAATGCACTTACGACACCTGTTTATGCGGTGTGAGGTGGATGATATAGCAAACTCTGTAGAAGGCAAATAGAGCTGGCAACTATGGCAATAGTAAATCTTCTTATAAAACTTCAGTGGGTCTTGAGGGACCTATAGGGTAAAAATATATACATATATTTATGTTTATACAGAGAGATCGAGAGAAAAGTGCAAAAGCCAGGCCAAATACTATCTATCCAACATGAGCACTGAGGTGTAACTTATCTTAGAATGAGACAAAAAGTTAGTTATATTTTCCCTTTCACCTTCTATTTTATAGAAAATATAAATTTCAAGCACTATTCATTTACCCTGCCAAAATATTAACAATCTGTATTGTTTATCAACCTTTAGATATCAACCTCCTGTCTCTGAAAATAAAATCTTAAAAAAGAAGAAATAAAAAGAAAAACTTCCAAGTGTTTTGGCACTTATTATTAAGAAGAATTTAGATTTTTTGGTGTTATGTTTATTAATTAATCTTACAGGCAACAGCTAGTTTGACATATAAATAAAAGCCCACTAAGCCAAGTGTTCTTATTCACTCATCTTAACAATAAATTTGGATGGCTCAATGATCAATTTCCAAAATTTGAAACTCGGTATCATGTAGTATTTCTATTTTTAATTTTTGAGTAACCTCTATCCTGTTTTCCATAATGGCTGTACCAATTTACATGTTCACCAACAGTGCACAAGAATTCCCTTTTCTCTACATCTTGCCAAGACTTATCTTTTATCTTTTGGGAATAGCCATTCTAATGTTTGTGAGGTGTCAGATCTCTGCAGTTTTGATTTGCATTTCCCTGATGACTGAGCAACTTTTTCATGTTCATATTGGCCATTTGTCTACTCATTGGGAAAATGTCTCTTTAACCATTTTTCAAGTGGATTAAAATTATTTTGCTATTGAGTTGTATTAGTTTCCCTCTTCCTTTTTTGGATATTAACTCACCAGATATATGGTTTACAAATATTTCTCCCATTTTATAGATGGTCTTTCATTTTGTTGATTGTTTCTTTGGCTGTGCAAAACTTTTTTAGTTTGATGCAACCTCATTTGTCTAATTTTGCTTTTGTTACCTTTGCTTTTGGTGTCATGGCAAAAGAAACTGATGTCAAACCAATGCTGAAAAGCTTTTTCTCTATTTCCTTTTAGTACTTTTACAGTTTAAGGTCATACATTTAAATAATTAGTCCATTTTGAGTTGATTTTTATATGTGGTGGGAGATAAGAATCTAATTTCATTTTCTGCATGTTGTTATTGAGTTTTCCCATACCCTTTGTTGAAGGGACTATCCTTTTTCCATTGTGTGTTCTTGGCTTCTCTGTCAAATATTAGTCGACCTCATATATGTGGGTTTGTTTCTGGGCTCTATGTTCTGTTCCATTGATCTATGCATCTTTTTTTTTTCCATGGCAATACCATACTGTTTATGAGAGCTTTTGTTTACGAGAGCTTTATAATATAGTTTTTACTGTTTCTGTTACTGTTAGTGTTTATAATATACTGTTTATGAGAGCTTTTGTTTATGAGAGCTTTATAATATAGTTTGAAATCATGAAGCATGATGCTGCCAGCTTAGCTTTCTTTCTCAAGATTGCTTTGGCTACTATGAATCTTTTCTGTGAAAAATACCGTTGGAATTTTGATAGTTATTGCACTGAATCTGTAGGTCAGTTTAGGTAGTATGGTCATTTTAACAATATTAATGAATCCAAAGAGATTTATTAAATGCCAAATAAACACCAAAAGCACGATCCATTTTAAAAATGGATAAATTGAACTTCATCAAAATTAAACACTTTTGCTCTTACAGATACTGTTAACAGAATGAAAAGCCAAGCAACAACCTGAGAGGAAGTATTTGCAAATCATGTATCTTACAAAGGGCTTATACATGAAATATATGAAGAATTTTTAAAATTCAATAACAACAAAATAAACAGCCCAACTGAAAAAAAAACATGGGGGTAGTATCACAATATGCGTATGGCAAAAAAGTGAGTAAAAAGATGCATATTAGTCATTAGGAAAGTAGAGGTTAACATATAATGGGATACTACTTTATGCCTATTAGAATTCCTAAATTAAGTAAAACCTTACAATACCAAGTGATGACAAGGTGGCAGAACAATTTGAACTCTCATATGTTGTAGACAGAAATACAATATGGTACAGCCAGTTTAGAAAAAGGGGTTCACAGTGTCTCATACATGTAAATATGAATTTATCTTGACTCAAAAATCCCACTTTCTAGGTATTTAACCTGTAACAATCAATTTACACAAAAACTCATAATCAAGTGCTTGTAGTGACTTTATTCACAAAACCCCCAAATTCTAAACAACTTAGTGTTCTACAACCGTGAATGGATAAACTCTGTACATCTGGACAATAAAAGCACAAACTACTAATCGATTCAGAAACATAGGTGAACCTCAAATGCAATATGCTAAATGAAGGAAGACAGTTTCAGAAGAATAAATATAGCCCTGACCAGTGTGGCTCAGTTGGTTGGGCACTGTTCTGCAAAGCAAAATTGCCAGTTCAATTCCTTGTCAGGGCACATTCCTTGAGCTGCAGGTTCAGTTCCCAGTCAGGGTGCATACAAGAGGCAAATGATCAATGTTTCTTTCTCACATCTGTATTTTTCTCCCTCCCTACCCCTCTCTCTAAAAAAATAAAATCTTTTTTAAAAGACTACATATATTATGATTCCATTTATATGACATTCTGGGTTGTCATAAAAAGGAAATGCAGGTCAGTACTTACTGAAGGTTAGGGAGCCAAAGGAAAGGGTTGGCTAGAGTATCAGTATGAGAGTGTTTGGGAGGATAGTAAGACTTTTTTTAATAAATAAAATATTTTAAAAAGACTTTATTTATTTATTTTTTTAGAGAGGGAAGGGAGGGAAAAAGAGAGAGAGAAACATCAATGTGCAGTTGCTGGGGGCCATGGCCTGCAACCTAGGCATGTGCCCTGACTGGGAATCGAACCTGCGATGCCTGGCAGCCCATGCTCAATCCACTGAGCTACACCAGCCAGGGCAGATAATAAGACTTTTAAAATCTTGATAGTGCTGTTGGTTACATGACTCTGAATTGGTCAAAAATCACCAAAAGGAGGGAATTTTACCAAAGGTAACTTACAAAATGAATAAAATGATATAGTATTATGTGAATGTGTAAGATATAAAATTGTATTATATTACTGCAAACATATAAAAACTGAGTAAGTCTATACAAAAGCACTAGAGGACAGCCTGGACAAATGAAACACTGATCCGAATGCCAACAAATAATATGCTAACTTTACTTTTTTCTTTATTTTATTTTTCATATTGCATGATTGTATTGATATTTAAGTCCAGAATGAGTAACTGTTAGAGACATTAAGTAGAGCAGTGTTTGCTTAGGAATGGAGGGGAGTGGTGGGGAGGGGGAGCTGGAGGATGGGAGAGTACATGAGTAATAGAAAGAAACTGTTTCTGGAGGTGGTCAGAATGTTCTAAAATTTGCTATGGTGATGGTTGCACATATCTGTGGCTATCCTAAAACCCATTGAACTCTACCCCTTAAATAGGCAAACTGTATGACATGTAAATTATATCTCAGTAAAACTGTTTTATTTCCAAAACCAGGTTTTAATCATTTTTACTTTTCAATTACAGTTACCATACATCATTATATTAGTTTCAGGCATATACTCCAGTGATTAGACATCATATAACTTACAAAGTGATGATCCCCAAAAATCTCAAATCCATTTGACACAATACAAAATGGGAAACTTTTCTCTAGTACTTTTGTTATATCTTAGTATTCTCTTGCAATACAATTAAATTTTAAAACTTCATTTAAAAATAAAAATATACAGTTCTGGCCAAGATGGAGGTGTACATAGAAACCGTTCACTTCCTTGCACACCCAAAGGAGGATAACAACCAATCTAAAATCAATAAACAACCAAAAGCACCAGAAAATCAAACTGCATGGAACTCTGACAACCAAGAAATTAAAGAAAAAAATCAATCAGACCTATAAGGCGGTAGACTGTGTGGGCTGACTCAGAAAAACTGCAGCAGGCAGTGGATCCGGTGGGCGGAGCTGGCTGGAGGCAAAACTGAGACTCAAGAGCTGACAGTGGACTATGGCAGTTGCCACAGTGGGAGAACCTCCCAGTCTCACACAAGAGTTCCTTGAGAAGTGTGCGAGAGATGAGAGCAGGTGGGCTGCACTGTTTCCTCTGCACTGTTGACTCCCCCACAGGCAGTACCAGAGCACAGCAAGTAGGGTTGCCCCACCCAGGTAACTACCTCAGGCCCCATGACCTCACAACTTATCAGGTGCACTGAGACAAAGAAATATGGCCCAAATGAAAGAACAGAGCAAAACTTCAGAAAGAGAACTAAGTGATGAGGAGACAGCCAATCTATCTGATGGAGAATTTAAAGCCCTGGTAATCAAAATGCTCACAGATCTGACTGAGCTTGGTAAAAAAATGAAAAAACAAATGAAGGATAACCAAAGTGAAATAAAGCAAAATATTCAGGGTACCAACAGTAACAGGAAGGAAACCAGGAGTCAAAGCAATGATTTGGAACAAAAAAGAAATCATAAATATCCATCTGGAACAAAATGAAGAAACAAGAATTCAAAAAAGTGAAGAGAGTCTTACAAATCTCTGGGACAATGTGAAACATTCCAATATCCAAATTATAGGGGTGCCAGAAGGAGAAGAACAACAGCAAGAAATTGAAAACTTATTTGAACAAATAATGAAGGAAATCTTCCCCAATCTGGCAAGAAATAGACTTCCAGGAAGTCCAGGAAGCTCACAGAGTCCCAAAGAAGTTGGACCCAAAGAGGAATACACCAAGGCACATCTTCATTAAGTTACCTAAGATTAAATATAAAGAGAGAATCCTGAAAGAAGCAAGAGGAAAAGAGAGAGTTACCTACAAAGGAGTTCCCAGAAGGCTATCAGCTGATTTCCCAAAAGAAATCTTGCAGGCAAGAATGGGCTGGAAAGAAGTATTTGAAGTCATGAAAGCCAAGACCTACATCCAAGATTACTCTATCCAGCAAAGCTTTTATTTAGAATGGA